AACGTCGGTATACTTCACGTATGGTTTCTTTCGGCGCCGGGTGATCAAGCCCTGCACGAATAGCCATTTTATAAGTATGCTCATATGCTCGATGCGTTAAATTATGTATAATTTTAACTCTACTTTCGAGCTCCTCTAAGTCAGATTAGTTTGTTGCGCACCGCGATTTTACACACAACGTCGCCGAATGTTTTCTTTTTTGGCGAGATTCACGTATGACATATCCCTAGGATCCACTCTGTCCATGCACTCAACCATAGCTTTATGTACATCTGGCTAAATGTTCCAATCTTTTTTCCAAGCCTCGACTGAAGGCGGTGCTGGGAATTGACTGTTTGCTATGCGACACTCACGTATTTTCTGAGCTTGCTTTGCTACGCGTGCTAGCAACATCTCATCGCTCACATCGTCGGCTTCAGCGCTATCACTATCGTCGCTGTATTCGTCCCCACTAAAAGATGTATCCGCTGAGACATTCCAAGTATAGTCGAGATCCATAAATGCATCTGTTACTTTAGTCCAAAAAGTATTATTGTCTCCAGTGGCTTTGTTGTCAAGCATAACTCGTGTGTTCCCTTCTTCCAATGATCATAGTGTTTATCTCTTTAACAAATTTTGTCACGTTCGAAGGTTTCTTCAATACATTCGTTTTCTTCTTTGGAGTTATGTTGAGAGGTGTTGAATACCAGTTAGGCTTTCCGTCTGTTACTAGATCATTGTCGATCAGTGCGTTTATAAGAAACTTCTTTGACTGAATACTGAAAAACTTTCTGTTATTATTAGCAGTGTAGTCATGAATATAAATGAGTTGATCTTTTGCATCACGTTTCACAGGAACATCACGTTTATGTAAGCCGAGCATAGATTCTCGACGACGGAGTTCGGTATATGCAGCATCACGTGACCACAAATGGTATTTAGGAGGCATAGTTCGTGCTGTTGTTGTTGAATCGCTCAAGAATGCAGACATCATGTGCTGAAGAAGGCTTTGACGATGGCTGAGTATCAGTGCGGCGCTCTACTCATCGCTGCTGTCGGATAAATACGTCCACGACTCCTTCTCTTGGCCTCCTTTCGTACCCGATGTCTCATCTGGAGGAAGCTCAAATATGGAGGGGTACATAGAGGCAGTTCCAGTTTCAATTTACTATCTGTTGTAACGATACACTGCTGTTTCATGCTGAAGACCATCGAACCTTTATCCAATTCTTCAATTCCTTACACAACACACACAAACCACACTTCTAAACGACTAGTTCAACGGACGGATATCCTGTTATTGTGCAACCGAACGCTTCACCTTCACTGTCGATAAACATTTATGTTTGATCAACAGTTCAACACTACAAATAAATCAAAATGTGGCGGGCTGCACCACCAATCAGCCTCTACGACGTTTGCGATGTCACGATTTCCAACCGTATTTAATGGTCTGTATATTGATTCTTTAACAGCATTTTTTTAAAGGTGAGGCACAATTTTTGACGTCCTTGTGTTTTAAAGACTTTAGAAATTCAAATCGATTCAAGCATCTCATTGGCCAACTGAATACTTTAATTAAAATTTCTTGAACGGATCCTCCCGTTAAGAACGACCCTTAGGAGTCTATGATACGTGTCTGAAAGCAGAATACTGTCATTGCTTTTTTGAGCGCCAATCAGAACTATTTACCAACGTTGTGTATACTACGCCGCTGAATGGTAATCTGGGGTCATCACTCGACCGCAGATGAAATGGTCACAAGAAGTCAAGTTTATATTTTTTTCATCATGTAAATACTATATTCTATACACCCCTGTCACTGTGCGCATCCTTATAACTCTCGCATGCACACTGCGACCAAGGCAGTGCGACTGCTTAGCAAGAAATCGACACATCTAAAACACTTTTAAAAAGGTTAAAAGTTGCTGTAAAATATACAACAGCTGTACCTAATCATAACTTCAACATCGACAACCCGATACAATGGAGAGTGTACAGAACGTAGAGCAATGGCGTGAGGACAATAAGGAGCTTTTTGTCCCGCCCGTGTGCAATAAGCTCATGCACAAGAAGCAGCTCAGCATCATGTTTGTGGGCGGCCCTAATACCCGCACAGACTTCCATCTGGACGAGAGCAGCGAGTTCTTCTATCAGGTGAAAGGTATGTACTGCACGCTTCATCTGATGCAATGCAGAAAAAAAAAATCACGAGGTCTATCACCACGACACACAGTGGCTCACAGATTTCAATTTAGCTTCTCGAAGCGCCTTCATTCTTGTGTGCATCTAATCTGAGGCAAAATCCGGTTGGTTTTCTGCCGCTCTAGCATGTAGACTGATATATGAATGAAGTTTTTACATTCATTTATAAGGCTATGTAGGTGAGCACGCACTTGCAGTCTATCCGTTTGGTGTTTTCACATTCATTCATAAGACTATGTATGGATTGCAAAGACTATGTATGGATTGCTAGATGAGCATTCGCTTGCAGTCTATCCGTTTGGTACGATATAACGGGGTAGTTTATGTGAAGTTTCTCAATTCTTAAAAGGTTCTCAAACTTGTGACTGTATTGCCGTCGCGAAAACTCAACTGTGTGTACCTGGAGATGCAGAGATTGTCTATATACATACACACTCAAATTGACATTTTTATACATACTGACAAAAACCCAGTATGATCATTGCTGGTAACACGCACTTCGTTTCGCAGCAACTGTGTTTTATAAGCGAGATGTGCATGAGTGTCAGTCATATGGTTGTGAGTTATTTCCCATACGAAATCTGGCTAGACACAAGACAATCCAGATGTGTATGAATAAACATACGCAGATACACAGAATAGACGTTGTTGAAGGCACAATCGGCACACAGGACTTCGAGCACATGTCACTGCGTTGTGATAGTTAAAAAAGAATAGTCCAATGTTCGTGTTGGGTTTGCCATGACGCAGAGTGCTCTATCATTTGCAGAGGCGTATATGCTTGTTAGTCATCTCTATATCAATACACCACAGTAGCTGCATGGATTTAGTCGACTTTATCTCAATACACCATCGCATCCGTTGCCACAGGCAATATGGAGCTGCCGACAATCCAGAATGGCCAGCGCAAAGTGGTGCGCATCAACGAGGGCCAAGTGTTTCTGCTGAAGTCGCGCGTGCCCCATTCACCCCAACGCCCTGAGACTGGGTCGTTTGGGCTGGTGGTTGAGCGATCCAGGGAGGATGATGAGATGGATGGCCTGAGGTGTGCACGTGTGTGTGCGTATGTGTGCGCGTGTGTGTACACGTGTGTATATGTGTCTGTGTACATATATATATGTGAGTGTGTCTGTGTGTGTCGTGTACTGATGTATACCGACCAGATGTCTGCAGTTGGGTCTGTGGTACGAGGGTGGGCCGTTTGGGGTTGTTTGTTTGCTTAGGAGGTGCTAGTGTGTACGTGATGGTGCTAACTCATGTGTATATGTCCTGTTGTTGTACATGTGTCTGTTGAAAGTATGGCCTCTCGGTCTCGTGATGTATTGGTTTAGCGATGGCACACGAATGAGTAGGCCCAAGGTATGTGTAGAGGTGTGTATATATGGAGCACGATGTGGCGTAAAGACGATTAGCTCGAGTTATATATGTCTGTGCGTATTGGAATGGTGTATATCAATGTATTTGTTTATTTGCACCGAAGTGCACACACGAGTGTATCGCACTCTAAGATTTCTAGGGTTTTAAATAGATCGATAGTTATTGTCATTATGATTGAAAATCGCACATTTATTCATTATCCCTCGCATATCCGCTTCAATACATCTGTACTGTCTGGCCTGAAGTGTGGTGTCGTCATTGCACAGTCTGAGTGTTCCTTGTGCTGATGTGGGAAATATGCGCCTTAGACGAAGCATAACTATCTTACAATATATATTGGTGTGGTAATACATTGCCTTGTATGTTCTGTATGTAGTAGGTCTTATCTAGTGCCCATGGCTGTGGCAGCACATATTGTAGCAATGGTCCGCAATTGAAGATCAATTGGCAGGTGCTTCAATGCGTCTCTGTTGCGACCTATCTTCGACTGTGTATGTATCTACGGCAAATTGTAGTCGTGTTGCTGATACTCGAGATATGTGTGCCCATAGGACTCTCACCTAACCCCGCCATCTATTTCCTGTTTGAGCAGATGGTACACAGACTTTGAAAAATGCGATGAGATCCTCTGGGAACGGTATGTGAGTTACTCAATTCAGGTGTATACACATTACATGGTTTAATTTGTCAACCTTGTGGGAAAGTTTTTCTTTTCAGATCTAGGGGTTATAGGGTTTATGCCCTTTTCTTGTCCTATGTCTGTGCACTATTATTCCGATGCACCCGTTATTCAGAATAACCCCTGAACCCGCAGCAAGAAGCTCACGATGTTGGCGTGTGAGTAAGTGTCCCCAAAGCAGTATGCAGCATATCCTTTCGGCATTGGAAGCGTACACACCTACTGCTATGCACTCCAAGTGACCTTCAGAAGCTCTCAGTAGTCGATCTATTCTAGTATGTTTAGCTACCGAGTTCTCATTTGAATGAATTGCGTTTCCACACATGTACACTGTAGGTACTTTCACTGCGGCGACTTGGGCCGTGACCTTGTGCCGGTGGTGAACGACTATACACAGAGCGAGCAGTGTCGGACAGGTGCGACGGTTCTTGTTGTTTTAATTAAGTGATCTGCGGTGTTTAGAGCTTTCATGTAACCCAATGCAAACCAATAGCCCGAATTATGGGTACACACTATAGTTTTACCATGTGCAGAATTTGACAGCCTGATTAGTGCGTTTGATGTTTATGCGCGGCTCTGTCTACGAGATACTCAAGCATTGTCCACCGAAACAGTACTGTCCAACTCTTGTCAGTTTGCCATGCGACGCACAGTGACCGCCTCTATGCATACCATCCATCATACTGTACCACTCCGCTCTGTTTCACAGTGTACTCCAATCATTACATATCTGTGATATAGCTATCATACCTTGCTATGCTAACGTAGTTAATGTAGGTGTTAGCAGACTCGGTACACTTCTGTAGTCGACTGACTACAATGATTGTTGTTCATTTGTTATGTGTTTCAGGTAAGCCGAATGCGGAGAGTATAGTGAGCAACCCGCCGCTGAAACAAGACTTCACCACAGAACTGCCCGATCCATTCATGCTGTCCGATTGGTTGGAGGAGCACAAGGCGGAATTGGCAAAGGTATATATATATATGTATTATATGTATATATATATATATATATATATATATATATATAAATGTATATTTATGTGTGTGTGTGTGTGTTAACGATTAAACGCGCTTTATTGTATATAATTTGATTGTAATGACAGATATCAGCTATCGTTAAGGGCATAGCAGCACATCAGAGCGTAGACACCCACGCCATAGCACATGTTGTTCATTCAATGCACTGATCACAACAGCATCCCGAGTTAAACCACATCAAACATACATCGCTCAGAACCAAACAGTGCTGCATGATCTTTATGTCCACACAGAGTGTGATTCATCCTCACGGGGGTTCTTCGGAAGTGTACTTGGTTGGTCGTGGTATATATGAACAAATACGGTTTGGCTATGAACCTATATTCACACGCCTATTCTATTATGACCATTTCTTGGCTCTCTATGCACATGATGGTGTTCACTATACTCATGCTACTATTCCGGGCACACAAACACATCAGGGAGCGTCGTTGAACCTCTTCCCCAACCATCCAGACAAAGAGGGTAACGTACGTGTAGAGGGGGGGCAGGCGGAGTTCACACGCGAGGCTGTGGACTATGAGACGTGGGTGTACCAGCTCAAGGTACGTCTCTAATAGACGACCCATTGGGGATTGTATTCGTTCGTGATGTGGAGATGACATGCCACAATGAACGCACATCACATACGTATCAGATGGTTATCCTTCTTGTGTTGCCTGAATTTTTGCTGAGTGCCTGTTGTAAGTGAAGTATATAAATGGTGGGTACGTACGTTGTGTTGTCGTGGTGTGGATGGTTGGTGGTGGAATAGTTTAGTATCGTTATACACGTATACATGGTCATCTCACACCACCCTCATCTTGTGAATAGGTTTGATTTTGAAATAAAGGAGTACAATGCGCAATACATTTTAAGAAACAGGTTTTACCATACCACTCTCGCAACAACAACTAAAACAATGTACAAGTAACACCATAACACTGCCACAACAACAACTGAAACAAGCTACACGTAATACCAAACACTCTCACAACAACAACTGAACAAGCTCCACGTAATACCATAACACTCTCACAACAACAACTGAAACAAGCTACACGGGATACCATACCACTCTCACAACAACAACTGAAACAAGCTACACGTAACACCATAACACTCTCACAACAACAACTGAAACAAACTACACGTGATACCACACCACTCTCACAACAACAACTGAAACACGCGACACGTGATACCATACCACTCACAACAACAACTGAAACAAGCTACACGCAATACCATACTACTCTCACAACAACAACTGAAACAAGCTACACGTAATACTACAACACTCTCACAACAACAACTGAAACAAGCTACACGTAATAATATAACACTCTCACAACAACAACTGAAACAAGCTACACGTAATAATATAACACTCTCACAACAACAACGGAAACAAGCTACACGTAATACCATACCACTCTCATATATCCCAGGGAGAGGTCACAGTGGTTCTAGATGGTCAAGACACCACCATCCTCGCAGAGGGCGAGTGCGGGGTCATCCCCAGCGGTAAGTCAAATGGCCAATTTTTGCATATACCAGTGCCAGTTGTAAGTATCACACCAGTGTGTTATACTGTACATCAATCGATTGTCTGTTAAACTATTGGTGGTTAGTTGTATCTCTGGTGAAGAGTATAAGAAAATATGGCCGTAACAGTTATGGGCGCGTCAGCCACAGGACACTCGCGAGCCTGTCGCTGAACTAACCCCACCTCACAATGCTACTCTATATACACAGAGTGATATATGTAATGATGTGTGTGACTGCAGAAGAATCAGTCTACTCTGACTCATGTACTCTAGTCATTAGTCTGGTAAACCCTAGCTTACACCATACTATCACCCCCCTGCTTGTGCCCTGCCATCCTTCAGGGCCATTCATTCGTTCGACAGGTGACATGCCCTAGTTTGTTTGGTAGTGTGTTATGTGCTTGCGCAGTATATACGCCTGTCAATCGTTTGTGTACGCGTAATTCTATCGTACTGTTCGTCGGAGAATGACCTAAGTTAATGTAAGTAAGTCGCAATCAGAACCAGCCAGAATCTGTTCAACTGATTAGTTACCAATGCGTTATGTTCGGAACAGGGAAGCAGCCCACGTACAAACGACCCGAGGGATCGATTGGCCTGACTGTCCAGCTCAACCCCAAGGGAAACAAATAAAGCCACCTCTGTGCACACCCTTAAAACCACTTCTAACCTGAGATGTTCAGAGACCTTGCATACGACATTGTGGGCAAGGACTACAATCGACCACGCCGTAATTTCATGGTGATAGCTTAATACACGACGGAAAGCTGACCGGCACAGTTCCAAGCGACCTTTTTCTCATAGTTACGCAAGAGTGTAGTCGTGCTGTGTACCTTCCGACAAGAATGACAAGGTTTCTTCGTATCACTGGACATCTATTCATCTTGCCCCTTGAGATATAGACAAAGTCAATCGATGTATTGCCGATTGGGAGAATGCACCGTGCTCTTATGTTTCGCCTCTCAGAACCATTTATGTTCATCTCACGAATAGCGTGTTATCCAATTGCAAGCCAATGAATGGTAGAGAAACAGCATGCAACTGTTTGTGCTTGTGTAACAGGTTAATAAAATTAAGAACATATACAAAGACCGTGGATTGCTAACACGAGTTGATGTACAGGGGCATGTCATTATTTTGATGTCATAACTTATAAGTGGCAACGCATGGGTATAGACTATAGAGGAGAATGTATATTTAGATGGAAAGTGTGAGTATGACATGAACATTGAGAAGTCCACAACCGAGTCACAAGGACACACACAGCTATAAACCATTTCGATGTAGTAACATCCGGGGGATTTTTATGGCTATACATAAATACACTTATACATGAACTCTCATTGTCCAAAATGTGTATATAGGCATATGTGCATCACCTATAAATCTTTATATAATACTAGATAAATATAAATTCAGTATCCATATCTGTCTAAACAAGTATGTAAAGGCGATCGCGGCGTGCATGCACGTATAGTGAGCATATACGTGTGTCATTCTTAGCTTCACTTAAATTCTCGCTGACCTACATACATAAAGTTACTTCACATACTAACGTATCTCTTTTTAGATAGATGCTTGCTTGTGAAAAATGGCCTTGAATATACATGCATTCAGATGCAGCACTTGAAACCACAATGAGCTTGTTTCTTTTGGACTGTGCGACTGTACCGCATGTATAACAGTCTAGTATATAAACATAAGTAGATAAATATGTGAACAACTGCACAAAACACCATATACACAGTCAGATAATTACGTGAACTACTACAGATTAAACACAATACAGTATACTTATAAACACACACATTGACATAACCTCCTATA